AAGGGAGGTGCCTCTGAGCACTGAGGGGAAGGGAGGGGGGAGTCTCACCTGCTTTGGGGACTTTAAAAAAGTCCCCAGAGGCTCCTGGGGCATGATCCAGTCCAAAAGGGGGGTGCAGCCACCCCACTGCAGCCCCTCTCAATCCACCCCTGTGTGTAAGCAGCCTGGTGGGCCCAATTCTCCAGGCCAGCTGGGAGAAACAACATATTTGGCCTTAAGTCACTTTTGTATTCCCACACTGGAGCAACCAACTACTTGATATCACTTACACCGGAAGGTCGTTACTCCTCACTTTCCGCAGAGTAGCTTTAGCCTGGAGTGAAGTGACTAACAGCAGTGTAATGCTGCACATCGGGTGTCCTCTCCACTTTTATTACAGAGTAAAGTCATTTTATTCCACTGGTGGCATCTCCAGCCCTCCACGATTGGAAGGCACAGCACAAAACCTCTGTCCTTACCCACCTCATTTTTCCGTGGCCTTAAATCTTCAGAAAAAAGGACACCTTCTTAAATACTTTGTCGTACACTTTCAAAGATGTTTAGTAATGGACTTAAAGCACATAGCTGATATAAACAGCCCCGCTGAAAAAGAAATAGGTAGTCCTGCACTAACCCAAATTGTGGGTGTCAATGCAAGTGTATGTCTGCCAGTCGTTGAATTGCATCTGATACTAGGTTCCTCTCTCATTAACAGAAATTTCAAATCACAGAGTCGTTAGGTGGGATTTTTTGCTTGTTTGTTTTTAAACATTAACCTTTCTCCCACAGTGCCAAAAACCTGAAGGTTATCTGTCTAATTTCAAGTAGGCTGGCTGTAGCTTCTGTACACTGAAATATTCATCCTCCCCACTAATTGCTGTGTGGGAGTTATTCACTGAATAAAAGAACCTTTTATACTTGCTGTTGCAAATATAGGCTCTAAAGCATCATTCCATTATAGTCCTTCACTTTTTGTCATTGGAAAAGGTTACTCTTTCAATGTATTAGAGAGCAATTATAAAAAAACCTTTAGATTGATAATGAGCTTGAATGATATAGAGGAAAGCATTCACAAGTGAAGCTTGGGATGTCAGTCACTGATTTAAATATACTGTAGTTGGGGAAAAAAGCCTTTCGTAAAAGAGCAAGCCTCCCATTCCCTGGATGGTATTTTTATGCCAAGCAATAATTCTTATAAAGATCAAATCCATACTTCACAGAAACAGCATGGTGACCAGAGGCCTGATCTCAATTCCTGCT